ATTGCAGGCTCACTCCACCACGTCTGACTAGATTTTGTATTTTTAGTAGAGATGGGGTTTCACCATGTTGGTCAGGATGGTCTGGATCTCCTGACCTTGTGGTCTGCCTGCCTCGGCCTCCCAAAGTGCTAGGATTACAGGCATGAACCACTGCACCCAACCATCTATTAGGGTTAAAGAAGAAATTTGGATTGCCATTTTAAAAATTGATAAGTAAGTGTATGTATTATGGGAATATTTACATACATTTTAGAAACATAATTATGTTTTTTAAACAAAAGTACTGTAGCTTGTCAGTTAGCTGTTTCATAATTTTCAATTATACAATAATTTATGAATTTCCAAAGGGCATACCTGTATTAACACTTTTACACATGACGCCTCACAATGAAAATTTAAGACATTAGCATCGATTTAATATTACTATAAATTGTGATTAATTTGACAATTGTATTTTTGTACAACTTTGTCTAAATTTGGTATTTTTTCAAATATATGCCAATTTATCTATTAGCCCATCACAATTGTATTCAGTAGTGTTACATATAGTACAAACTCATTAACATTAGTATCTTTTCTAAGATATAAGGAGACATGTAAACATGCTATAGTTGTCATTAAATATATATGTATATGCACACTTGCATATCAATATCTTTATATAATGATTAGATAAAGCCATTATTTTTCCCCGCATAAAAGAAACAAAATATCAACCTTTAGTGATGGAAATGACTAATTAAAAATTTCTGTAATATGAATATTTAGGAGATGCTTCTTTCCCGATTTATTAATTGGTTATTCTTTCCTTCAGTCTGGCCAACAAAAAGTGTATAGTATTGATGAAATGCTGTGTGAATGTGTGTGTGTGTGTGTGTGTGTGTGTGTGTATGTATCAGTGGTGAAGTAATTGTTTCATCTTGACAGGTCGAACCTGCTTTCCCCATCAAGGTTATAAAATAAAACTGACTGAAAACATGTTAGTAAAAATACCTGGGAAGGAACTGGATGCTTTGACATCATGTTAACTACATAGTTATGAATGCTGCATTTGAGCAACTATATAGTTAACAAAGTAGATATAGTATCTATTATATTGGATTATCTAGACTGTTAATATTTGTGTAGTAACAGAAATAATAAAGAGCTGACATTGCTGTGACTATTGGAAGTGGGTGAAATTAGAAAGGCATTTCTGTTCCAAGATCCTTCCTGTGGAACTAATCACGTTGTTTTCAGAATGCTTGTGTTGAAGACAAAATACTGCATGCACTCTTTTAGTACAAAGTCAGTTTAAGATGAGATTTTTATGACTGAAAAGAAAAGTAAATAAATAACTGGGATTTGAAATGTTGGATAAGATTTTCTACTTTTGAGTACACTGTTTGCAGTGAGATGAACTGTTTCTTCTGTGTATTTCCTCGCTATTTGCAGAAAGATGAACTGTTTCTTTTATGTATTTTTTTCACTATATCTTAATTCTGCTAAGGATTGACTAATATTCTATCATTTCTGCAGGTTTCTGCTGTTTATTAACCCAAGTTTAATGTTTACGGCAATACTAAGTGTTCTGTCATGGAATAGCAAAATGCTTCCATCAAAAATGTATTACCAATACAGCAGAAGTCAATAACATCAACTGCTATAAAACAAGGTTGATTAGACGATCTTTTTAAAAAACTCATTTAGAATCCATGACAAGTTGAATTGTCTTTGTATAAACACACATTACTTCTTTGTGAATAGATATTTAGATTATCTGATTTAAAATGAGTTGGTTATTTCAGCTTCAATTGTAAAAACTTTATAGCATATTTCCTAACAAACTATTAAAGAAATTGGTGTATCTAAACCTGATAGTATTAAATTTCAATGTAATGATTAATCTAAATCTGCATAAGGGTTATCACATATTAAAATAATTCTTATGAATGCCGCTTAAATTAGCAAGATAAGTCAAACATTTATTGTCTAAATATTTTTACAAGAGCTTAGATTCAGAAGTATTATCTGGCCCAGAAAAGACAGCTTAAGTAAAAAATAAAGTCTGTAGTATATATTTGATTATGTTAATAAAATATTAATATTCTGGTTAAATACCTAATAACATAATTAGGTAGTACTCAATTTATATGTCAGCTTTAAAAATTCTTCATTCTTTTCTCTCATGTTCCCAACCATGGTCAGGTATTCAAAATGTACGGGAAATGGAAAGCAATGGTTTGAGGAGACTGATATAATCTATGGCAATATAAAACAGCAATGATGGCTGGGCATGGTAGCTCACTTCTGTAATCCCAGCACTTTTGGAGGCCGAGGCGGGTGTATCATCTGAGATCAGGAGTTTGAGACCAGCCTGGTCAAAATGTTGAAACCTGATCTCTACTAAAAATACAAAAGAATTAGCTGAGCGTGGTGGCATAAGCCTGTAGTCTCAGCTACTCAGGAGGCTGAGGCAGTGGAGACCTGAGAAGTGGAGGTTTCAGTGAGCTGAGATTGCACCATTGCACTTCAGCCTTGGTGACAGAGGGAAACTGTCTCAAAAACAAACAAACAAACAAAGCAGCGATAAGATAAGGCCAGCTTCACACAGCCTCTTAGACACTCCAGCTTCCCTAGCAAAAATTAACCATCATCTTTCTATAGTGAAGCCATCTCAAGGTATAGAGATTTAAGGGTAACCTGCTACACTTGTCAGCACCTGTCACAGTTTCACCCATTTAAAAAAAAATGTGTTGATGCCAATAATACATGATTAATATCCTGATCTGTCTTTCACTAGAAGGCCTGAGGCTGCAGTCACGGATGTATAAAGTCAGCAAAACTGGCCAATATTAAGTGACTGCTTCTATACATACATTTGTGTATAAGTGTAAATAATATATATTTCATATATACATAAGTTTGTGTATGAATAGTCTGTTTTTGTATTTTTATATGTGTATATAATACCTATATTTTTCTTACAGATATAAGGCATTTTTATATGCACACAATTTTATTTTCATAATCACACAATAAAATGAAGTAATAGGCAAGAAATGTACACTATGTGTATATGGATATAGATATATATTCGTATAGGTATATAAAGTTATTCCTTTATTATGTTATTTTTCTTGGAGACTATGTCTTTTGTCAAGAGGGATTTTATTCAATTCATCCAAAAAGACTACACAAAAAAGTCTTTTAGGGCAAAAAAAGTCCATTGCCCTAAATGTTTATAATTACAAGTCAAACAATTTAAAAATGTGTGCCTGCTTAGAACTAGAAGAACTCCAATAATACAAATAAAACTGCATGGCCAGATGGGAAAGAGTACCTCAGATTTGCAATAAAGTGAGGATGCCTGATTCTATTCTTCATAGGTACAATCCTAGAAAACAGTATCATACAATGAGTTAGAGCAAGAACGTTGGAGTCAAGGAGGCCAGGGCACTGGCTCTTGTATACTACTAGATACATATGCAATTATAAAATTAGGATTAAGTGCAAAATTCTTGCAGTTAATCCTAATTTTATAATTGCATATGTATCTAGCGGTATATATTTCATAAATATATTTAAGGGTTAAATGAGATACTCTACTATGAAAAATTAATAGAAAATGTTAAGCACTGTTTGAATTACAGCATTTATTAACTTGTATTATCATATATATTTGAGCTATAGAACTTAATGTTTTTACATTATATACATAGTGAAGTGATTACTATAGTCAAGCAAGTTTACAAATCCATCACTTTTCATAGTTATCTTTGTGTGTGTGTATGCGTGTGTGCATGTGTGTGTGTGTGTGTGTTAGAGAAACTAAAATCTACTCATCAACTTTTCAGGATACAATACTATTTATCATAGTTTTCATGCTAGATATTAGATCTGTAGGCTCATTAGTTCTACATAGTTGCAAGTTTATAATCTTTGACTTACTTCTACTCATTTTTGTACACTTACATCCCTAGTAACCACTGTTATACTCTCTGCTTCTATGAGTTTGAATTTTTAGATACTACATGTGAGATTGTGAAGCATTTTTCTGTCTGTTTTTTTCATTTACTGTAATGTCCTCCAAGTTCATCCATGTTGTAAATTATAGTATTAAAAGAAAACACAGGCATTTGTTGAGAATTTACTATTTAGTGACTGCAATTTACAGATTACATGGATAATATCATTTACACAAAATAATTCCTGACAATAGATATTATTATTAGATGTTGCAGATAACAAATGTAAGGTTTAGAATTTGAGCATGTTGCTCAAGATCACATACTTAACAACGGACAGAGTCAGTATTTAAAATCGGTTTGCTCTTAGAATTGTTGTGCTTACCCAATATGCCGTTAACAGCCAAATAATAAAAGTTAGCAGAGTGTTTATTATCATCATTATTACATGTGAATAAAGAAAATGTATAATCCATTAGGACTTACTTTAGTTCCTTGAGAAATATTTCTCCATTCCCTCTGCACAGAGATTTTAATGTATTTACATTTTCTATAAATATTATTGACTTTACTACAATAAAAGATAACGAAACTCTTGTTCAAACAAAGGGAAGAAAGACAGGAAATGAAAAATAAATTAAGATCACAAGAAGGGTTTGAGTCCTATATGCTCTATGAATGGATCTCAGGAAGTTTCTTGAGCCTATTTCCTTTTATTCAGAAAATAAATCTTCCAGCTATGAATTTCTTAAAGATCTCATGATATAAGACATACATTATATTAGATACTTTGTCATGCAGAAGCTTTTTATAACTATTATACTGTCTTCCCCATGATCCCCCTGCAATAACACTTTGAAGTACTATTTATCATTCCATTTGGAAGAAGTAACCATATTCCTGCTTCCAGTACAATTCATTTCATTAGTAAGTAAAGTGCATGCTTTAAGTGAAAGTATGTTTTTTAAATACATAAGTCTCCTTGTCATATTTCCAGAGGGCATGACAGAATATTTACATTATTATTTAATGACAAAACTCGCTTCTTTCTAGGAGCAATTTTTGATGAATCTGCCAAAAAGGATGATGAGGTGTTTCGCACAGCAGTCGGTGACCTTAACCAGAATGAGGAGATCTTACAGACTGAGAAAATCACATTTTCAGTGACGTTTGTTGATGGCAACAACCCTTTTCAAGCAGTTCAAGAAGGTAAGGTCATCAGTAGTCCACTATTAATTAATTTATTTTTCGTTCAATTTAAATGGCAATGAAATTATCTTTGATGAAACCTATTAAACATGCACATCATTTTTGTATCTTTGTTGTAAATAGGGCATTATTTTCCTTGGAAATCACTGTTTCATAGATGTGAATCTTGTATTCCAGTTTTGAAAGGGCAGAGTGTGGAAAGTTACTATATTAATTGAAATATAATATGAAATGTACAATTATTTACATGTAAAAGCTTTGCAACATTTTTATGACTTCAGTGTAAATGAAACATTTTTTAAAAATACTATTTTCTACCACAATGTTTACTTTGGAATTCTCTGAGATAACTGCCACCTTGGGTGTTGTTATAACTTGTGATGACATTTCAGGTGTACACATGACAAATGTATTGCTGCAAGAAAAACCCTTGGACACTACATACAAATCAAACATTTTGCACTAGGACTCTAACATACTGACCTATGCTATAAATTTTTGCGCTCTACAAGACACCAAATATTAAAGTGCTTTCCTCCTTTTTCTCTGTAAACTAAAGTTAAAATTTTTCATTGGTACAAAGTAATAAAAATACCAATTATTATTAATATATTGGAATCATCATTCCAATTAATGAAGGTTTTGATTGAAAGATCTTACCCAAATGGAATTTTCTGTCTTATTGCATTAATATAATAAAATATTTAGCCTCTTGATCCAGAAATCACTCATTTTACATGAGACTATTTGCTGTTTATTGGGATGGTCTGAATGTTTGTGTCCCTTCCTACCCCCTGCATATGTTGAAACATAATTCTTATTCTGGTGATATTAAGAGGTGGGGCCTTCAGAAGATCATTAGGTCATGAGGGCTCTGTCCTTATGGATAGGATTAGTGCCCTTATAAAACAGGCCCAAGGGAGCTTGCCTGCCCCTTCTGCCATTCGAGAACTCAGCAAGAAGGCACCATCTGTGAAGTAGAAAAAAAGCTCTCACAGGACACCAAATCCACTGGCCCTTGATCTTGGACTTTCCAGTCTCCAGAACTGTGAGCAATATATTTCTGTTATGTATAAATTACTTAGCCTGAGGTGTTTTGATATAGCAGCCTAAACTAAGACACTAGTCTACCTTATTTTTATTGTGATAATGTATTTAAACTGAAGACAATAAATGCAAAATTAATTTAGTCAAATAAAACTTTTGCTTCATTAAAATTTAAATAGGATTTGGCAGAAGAAAAGGCAGCTACCATATTAACTGTAGCAAAGTTCAGCGGGATTTTTTTTTTAATGCAAACATTAAAAGAGTAAGGAAAATAAACAAAAGTGTCTGAGAAAGTGTACTTTTCATTTACTATTTTATCTGTTTGATGTGCAGGTAATCTTTATTGAAACATATTTTCAATCAATAGCACTGGCTACTTTTGAAACTTATTTGTGTTTATTTCTGTTAGTTAGAAAATAGATATGTGATTGGTGGTCTAAAAGTTTTCTCCTTGCTAATGGAATGGAGTAAAATATCATTTTTTTTAAATAATACAGAACTGTTTTAAGTAAGAGCTGGCTTTACCAAAAATAGGATGTTTATAATAATAAGATAAAATTTTCATTTTTAATAAGTAAACATTAATGGAAAAATTCAGATTGAAATAAACATCCACTTATTTACATTTTAAAATCAGAATAATTCTGACAAGGATTTAAATACTGTAAATGTTAATAAATTTTCTATGGAAATATGTAAAAGCTGTCAACATTAGGGTTAGAAATAATAGAAGGATCTGGAAAAAAGTAGAATTTGAAGAAGATACCAAATAATTTTTAAAATATATTCAGTATTTTTCTTCCTCAACTCCTATTTATAAGGACAAGAATGTGAGCAGGAAAAACATGAGGACTGAATTATCTATCTTCTGAGTAATTACATATTAATAATTGTGAATTAACTTCAAAGACATGCTAAACTACCCATGCTTTTTAAAAATTGACCTTACTAAAACAGTAGTAACAAAAAAATGAAATGAAAACAACACAGTGGTGAGAAACATGAATTATGAAGTCAGAAAAAAAAGTCCCTCACACCTTTATTAAAGACTACAATTTGAATAGTTCTGACAGTTTTTTAAATACATCTTTTGTTTTTTGTTTTAACATTGCTCTCTTTAATCTGCTACCAGCTAAAATCTGAAAACAAAAATATCTTGCAATAGTGATGGCACTGAAAGCAAATTGAGAGAAATAATAAGGTTCCCAGATAGAGTCCACTAGATATTTGTCAGGAAAATGAAAGAGCTGGACAGTTTGCTTGATGGTTTCTGATACCTACAGGATGTTCTCCACCAGTTATTTTGATGGTCAGCTTTAGGTAATAAACCTGAAATAAGTTCCAGGAAGCTTTCAGGATAATTTGTTTTCCTATTTAATATCAAGAAGAGTTTCACTTAGTGTTAGAAGTAAAAATAATTATTTGTGGAAGCTGTTTTGTTTTTATTATTTTGGACAATAGTGGTTTGAAAAAATAAGAGAAAATATTCAATTGAAAGAGAATAAACAACCAATTCAGAAGTACCGTTTTCTTCAATGTTTTCAGGAAGTAACTTAGGAGAAAACCTTAATGGTGCCATCAAAGATAGTCAACTTTCTCTCACATGTTTCATTATTACATGTTTACTGTAATACTGTGAGAACTTATAATGAGAGGGTCTAACATCACCTTGGCAGTTTTCATTTTTTTTACATTCTAAAGAAGGACAAAAGATTCAATGATACAATTATACCTGATTGCTTACATATTAGCACTCCTAATGAACTTATAGAAAAACTCATGGTTTTGATCCCTCTGTTTATTTGAATTTGAAAGTCTCATTCTTGAACAAATAGCATAATGAAACATAAAGATACTTAGTAGTAATAACAAATAATAATAGGGATCATTCATAGGTTAGTTAAGTAAAATTGAGCCTGAAAGCCTCAATTTATTTTATTGTTAGAATTTCCTCTAATCAGCCACATTTAAGAGCTGATTTTTTATATTGAAAATCAAAATTTCTTTTTATTGTATATTGCTACTGTCATCACTTAATAAGAGAATTCAGTGACAAACAGACTATATAATCCACACATGGTCATAAAGAGTAGTGTATTTTTGAAATCTTCCTTTGTAGCTTTGGCTACAGTACATTTTTGTTTAGCAATTAATCTTTTAGAAAATGAGTTTCTGGACAGATAACTCAGTTATAACATGGGGTTAATATTCCATTCTCTGGAGAGCCATGACTGTATCTGTTAATTTGTCGTATTTGATAACATCAATTTCAGACCTTTTAAATAAATGAATAATAGAAAAACAATTCTGTTTTCACAAAAGTTATCTGGAAATAAATTACCGGTTTTTAGATTATTCTTTTTCCCTTTCTTATGAATATATTTGTTGATAAGCCATTCTTCATCTTTTGTGTATTGAACTGTGGAATATTAACCAAGGGCAAATATATGTTCAAACTTTAACTCAGGAGGTTTTATTGACAATGTTTTTATTTTGAATAAGCTATTTTGGTATCTAGGATGTAGCATTCTCTTTAAAAAGATATAAAAGAAAAAAGAAAGTTATATGGGTTGTTTTTAAAAACCTCGAGAATTATAGGAGTGGAAAATTATACAAATCTCAGTGAATATTTTCACAACTTAGATGAAATAATTGTGACCCAGAGAGGTTAAGTAATTCTCCCAAGTTCGCATATGGTTACCAGGCATGTGTGTAGCAGAAAAAGAACTGAACCACGAATTCCTTCACATCACTAGTTCAGTATTTTTCTCGCTGTATCTAATAACTATACCCACCCATGCATATATACACACACATGAGATAGCACAATGTATTATAGGACTTCAGTAAGTACTGTAAGGATTGAAAAAAGCAACAGATTTATGTTCTGATATTTATTTGCTATTTATTATTTATGTTAAAGGCATAGAATAGTAGGAAAATTTCAATCTAAGTGATGAAGAACAGTACATTATATAAATCAACCTTTTTCTTTTGACCTTGGTTTTCCTCATCTGTAAAAAAATGACGAAATCTGAACATAATGTATTTTAAGGTCACTTTCATCTCTGTGGTTTTATAACCTTTAAGGACACAGTTCTAGAATTATAATCTTATAGAAATGATCATTATTTAGTGTCCCTTTAGAGAAGATTTGATGTTGCTGAAATTGCCTCCGAGTTTTTCTTTGTCTGACTTAAAAATAGATTAAACAGATGTGGGGCACCCATTGTTTGTTCTGGTACTTCATTCAACTATTCACCACAACCCACAGAACTCATTACTACCACTAGAATCCAAAGGGTTTTTTGCTGATTCCCTTAACTTGAATGAAAGTAGCTGTTCATAGTATCTGTTCATACTCTTTTTATTCATAGGTTACTCTCGTTATTTTTCTCTTATCGATTTCTTCTGTGGCATCTATGTACAATATATAGCATAGATGTACAAATGTTTGTTGTGAAAAACACTGCTGTCATTTCTGAAAGCAGTACTCATTGTTTATATTATTAGCTCTTAGATGAGATGAATAGAAGATGGGCCATGAAAGGTGGAAATACATAAGAAAACAAAGTCAGGAAAAGTAAGGGTAGTATATTTGTAGAAATTCTCAAGTCAAAAGGTGAATAAAGAAGTATGAATCCATATATATTTCTTACATGTATTTGATGTGTCAAGAAGGAAGCGAAACATCATTCTTTGATATTTAATGGCAAGATTCAGGTAAACCATTCTGAATTAATTGCACTTATTAGAAAAATACCTAAAAATAAGCTGCATAGTGAATATAAAAGCAGAATTATGCTATAAAGTCACAAATGATTCTATCTGAATGACAATGTGTTAACTGTAATAATTATTTTTTCTTTATGTATTCTAAAACATAAACAGTATCATTATAATTAATACCAGGTTTTTGAAAAAATGTCCAGTGCTTTTTGAAATATAAAAAT